ATGACTGAATCACTATGCTGTGCACCAGAAGCTAACACAGCATTGTAAATCAACTATACTTCAATAAAGAGCCCCCGTCCCTGCAAAAAAAGAAAATGATGAGAAGCTGGGCATATAGAATGGAGGGGATGGGTGGAGTAAAGGAGGACGAGGAACAGAAGCGTGGTGGAGGCAGAACTGTAAAAAGCCTTGCCTCCTCTGTCATGTGGTTTAGATTTTATACTACAGGTGAAGTAGAGATTCAAAAGGTTTTAAAGCAAGATAAAATACCTACCCAGTGTCAGAGAAAAGTTAGGAGTCTTTGCAGATTTAGTTGTGGGTGATAGGTTTGGTTATTGGTAAATTCACATATTCCTACTTTCAGCCGCAAATTAGCTTGAAAATCACTCCTTGGTTAAATGATAATAATAAATAAAAATTACTCAGTGCTTAATGAGTGCTAGTTGCTGGCTCAGCACTTTTATCAAGTTCTTCATTTTCAGCTTCATGGAAGCCGACACTAGGTATGTACTATTATTATCCCTGTTTTATCTGGGAGGAAGCAGGCTTACAGAGGTTAAGTCATTTGCCCAGATAAACAAATGTTGGAGTTGGAAAACTCTTTGACCTCAGAGCCCAAGTATTCAATACTTTTGAACATGGAAAATGTAGCTCTTTGCTGTTAATTTTTAGTTTGTTTCATTTTAGAAAAATAACGTAACCTGTGTCCTATATAAATGTTTCTTCTTGGAAATTATTAATATTTATTTGTTTGGGACAAAGATTGATATATAATTCACATCAAATTTCTTAATTATTTTATTCTTTGTGACACTTGCATTGTATTCTAAAAGTAATGTATTTTCTGTAATTTACTTACTTACTCTCTTAATGACGGACATTTGGCTTGTTTAAATTTTTTTTGGCCAGCATAGAAAAAGTTTCTAGGAGTATTCTTGTACATGTATCTTTAGTTAAAAGGTGAATAGTTTTGTAGGATAGATTCCCAGAATGAACACAAACACATACATACCCACATACACAAAATAATTGGAATAGTTCTATACATTCAAAGATTTAATTTGATACATAATAAGTATTATTATATCATATATTAATATTAAACATAATATTTTTATTATATGAATACATTTTATGTATTTTACTAGGTATTGTTGTATTATCAATATACAATATTACATATGTCATCTCTGTTGAAATTTATTTACTTTTTATTACCTTAAGAAATTTTGTTTCCATGCCATGCCATTGTCTCTACCTTCCTTCTCTCCTGAGGAAGTAATTTGTCTTTTTTTTTTTTGAATTTTAGGGCGAATTCATAAGCATTCTCAGCAACCTTTGATTACGTATGAAAAATACAATGTGACAGGCTATCCACAGAACGTAGGAGGATCTCATTCTTTACTCCTTCTGAAGGTTCATGGTAAGTTACATGTGTAGTATTATTACTACTTTGTGGAATAAACTAAATTTTGTGGAATAAGTTTTGTGTGGGCTAGATTAAGAATGGTAGCAGGCATAATTTAGCAAATGTTCACAAATCTTCCATGTTTGAACATTAACATTTTCAAGTAACATTATCTATCTTAATGTTTGCTAATTTTTATTAAAAAGATAGATAGGAATAATTCAGTGAATTTTAACCCTACCTGCACATTAAAATCACCAATGAAGCTTTTAAGACATCTGTAATTTTTAAAAAGTATGCTAGTCATTTCTTACTGTAGGCAGGATTGAGTATCATTGGGCTAATTATTTTAACTTTTATGAGACTTTGGTTGTGCCATTTATTCAAATAAATGTTAATAAAAGAGGGGCTTGTGATTGTGATTGTTTAATTATAACAGTAGTTTGATTCCAAAGATACACTTTTTTTTTGTTGAAGAACTGATCAGTGTACAAGCATTTGAGTGTATACGAAGTACTCAGTGCTATAGTTAGGTATTACATTCTGAAAATGATGAAAAGAACCAAGTTGGAAGAGCAGCAGCCTAGAAATAAGGCTCTCATTTGCTCTAGTTCTACAAGTGAAAGCTGATTGCATTTGAAAAGTAGTCCATGCATGTAAATCAATGAAGTTAGAACAATCCCTTACACCATACATAGAAATAAACTCAAAATGACTTAAAGACTTAAATATAAGACAAAACAGTATAGAAGGAAGAACTTAGAAAAAAACATAGGCAAAACTTTTTCTGACATAAATCTTAGCAGTATTCTCCTAGAGCAGTCTACCTAGGCAATAGAAATAAAAGCAAAAATAAACAAAATGGGACCTAATTAAACTTATAAGCTTTTTTTGCACAGCGAAGGAAACCATAAGCAAAATGAAAAGACAATCTATGCAGTGGGAGAAAATACTTGCAAATAATGCTACTAACAAGGGCTTAATTTCCAGAATATATAAACACCTCATGTAACTCAATAACAATAACAAAAAAGCCAATCCAAAAATGGGCAGAAGACCTAAACAAGCAACTCTCCAGTGAAGACATACAAATGGCCAATAGGCACATGAAAAAATGCTCAATATCACTAATTATCAGAGAAATGCAAACCAAAATTACAATGACATATCACCTCACACCAGTCAGAATGGCCATCATTAAAAAGTCCACAAATGACAAATGCTAGAGATAGCGTGGAGAAAAGGGAACCCTCCTACATTGCTGGTGGGAATGTAGTTTGGTACAGCCATTATGGAAAACAGTATAGAGATTCTTCAAAAAACTAAAAATAAACTTAACCATATGATCTAGTAATCCCACTCCTGGGCATATAACTGGAGGAAGCTCTAATTTGAAAAGATACACACACCCCAATATTCATAGCAGCACTATTTACAATAGCCAAGACATGGAAACAACCTAAATGTCCATCGACAGATGACTGGATAAAGAAGTTGTAGTATATTTATACAATGGAATACTACTCAGCCATAAAAAGAATAAAATAATGCCATTTGCAGCAACATGGATGGACCTGGAGAGCATCATTCTAAGTGAAGTAAGCCAGAATGAGAAAACAAAATACCATATGATATCACTCATATGTAGAATCTTAAAAAAAAAAGACATAAATGAACTTACTTACAGAACAGAAACAGACTCACAGACATAGAAAACGAACTTATGGTTACCAGGGGGGAAATGGGATGGGAAGGGATAAATTGGGAGTTTGACATTTGCAGATATTAACTACTATATATAAAGTAGATAAACAGTAAGTTTATACTGTACAGCACATGGAACTATATTCAATATCTTGTAGTAACCTATAATGAAAAAGATACGAAAATGAATATATGTATGTATACGTATGACTGAAACATTGTGCTGTACACCAGAAATTGACACAATGTTGTAAACTGACTATACTTCAATTAAAAAAAAAAGAAAAAAAAAGAAAAGTAGTCCAGCTTATTCCTTTATATTCCGCAGAGTTTCAACACATGTCTTCATTGCAGTTAAGCTAGAAGGTATCTTTATTGCTGTTATTTTGCTTCTACTAGTAGCTCTAGCTTGACAGTAATTGGATTCAGAAATAATGTGCTATTTGTTTTCCATTATTTTTTGGAGTGAGATGTGAGAAGATTCTGAGATAACTGCAGGCAGGCTGTATTAGTATAATGATTAAGAGCACAATTGTTCAAGCCAGACTGGGTTCGAATTCCAACCTTGTAACTTGGGGAAGTTACTTAACTTCTCTATGCTTTCCTTCCCCATCCAGCAAAAAATAGAATAATCATTGTAACTACTTTATAGGATTGTTGTCAAGATCAGTTAGATTAATTCATGTAAAGCACTTAGCGCCTGGCATAATAGAAGAGCTTTGGAAGTGTTACCTATTAGAAGTAGCAGTGGTGGTGGGAAAAGCATTGAGATTTAGGTTGCACTTATGTCAGCTGAATGCATTTTGTTGGCTATTTACATTTTCTAAGCATTTGGCCTGATCATTTAAGAAACAGCTTAATTAGATTGTGTTGTCAACCATCACATTTTCTCCCTGTAGGTGCCTTAATGTTTGTGGCGTGGATGACGACCGTTAGCATAGGTGTCCTGATTGCACGGTTCTTTAAACCTGTTTGGTCAAAGGCTTTATTTGGTGATGCAGCTTGGTTTCAGGTACGTGGAGAAAAGGTTTATTGCAATTTCCACATTACTTGAACGTTGCAACATGAAAACGTATGATGTATGGGGATTTTTTTGTGTGTGTGTGGTTATAGTAATTTTGGAATCCTCATAATCCTTTCTTTTTGCCCTTTGGTTTCTTATCCAACTGAGCATGGACACAAAATGCTTAATGGAGATGAAAATAAAGACAGCTTTATGAAAGGTCAGGCTGGATTGGAGAATGTATCAGGGCTATGTGTGTCCCTTTGTTACATGGACCTTGGGACCCAAATGATCCTGAGTTACATGTCTAGTTGCAGGAGAGACTAGAAGAGTGAATACACCCACTACACTGAGTACAGATGGGCCAAGGAAGGCAGTAGAGCAGAAGAAAGAAAGAGTGGGAGCTTGCTACATTGCAAAGCAGCTCAGCGTGTCCTCTAGTTAATGGGCCAGTGAATGTTGGACCATCCCTGGCTCACCAGTCAGGATCGTGTACGTCCTGTGTGGGTGGGAAGAGAAACTAAAAGTGTTCCTTTTCATGCTGTTCCTTCCCATGGGATGAGCAGGCAGTGTTTTAATAGAAACATGAGCAAGAGCCAGTAAATACCCCTCAAAACAAAGCAAAACAAGCCTTATCTTTCATTTGTCATATAGATATTTGCAAATATAGTAGAAGATCAGTGAATACGTGTTGAGATAGAAAGTGTGTGTCTGCTTGTAGGAAGCAGTACTGCTTTCCTGGAACAGTTTTATTTACTTTTAAATTTGTTTCTCTTTACATTTTCTAGGTGGCTTTATTTACTTTTTTTGTCTTTTAGCTTTTTTTTGCTGAGGGATAGGTATTGTCTGGCAAGGTCAGACCACATGCCTTGCTCCTGTCTGTGTCTGCCTCTGACTGCTTGCTCTCTCTCATCTTCTCACGTGGATAGTCCCAACTGGAAAACTCTTCACGTCTTCTCTTTACCAATTCAAATCCTCTGCTGTCTTTAAAATTATGATGTCTGTATATATAGGGTGACTACATGTCCTACTTTCTGATGGCATGTACACATATATGGTGATTATATGTCCTTCTTCCCCTGGCATAGTGTTAGTTTGCCCCAGTCATCCTGGTGTAATCAGCTAACTGCCCACGGTCACTCTCAGTATTGTCCTCATTTGGACAATGAACTGTACATTTCGAATGTATTTCTCTTATCTGCTCAATTAATTCCCAAGCTCCTCAGGAAACGAGTACTTTCTGTTTCCTTGCAGTCTAATTGTATCCAGGCACTGTGCTTGGTGGTAGAAGTTAATAAATACCTTTGGAAGAGAATGATGGACTTGGCTTTGTGTATGAAATATCCATTCCTGCTGCTCTGTGCAGGTGAAGTCTGGGCAGATGCTTTTGAGTGACGAGGTTGGCGGCCTAGGCTTTTCTTTAAAGCTCAGTGGTATAGTAAGATTTTTTTTTAACTGACCACAAATCGTGGTTAGACGTCAATCGAATGCATGCCTTCACTGAATCTCATCCCACGATCTTCCTAGTGATGCCAACTCCTTTCTCTTAGGTCGTTAACTCTGTTCTCATTTTGTCATTTCACCCTTGCAGGTGCATCGAATTCTCATGCTCACTACTTCTGCCCTCACCTTCATTGCTTTTCTTCTACCTTTCATTTACAGAAGAGGCTGGAATTGGGTAAGCAGATCTTAAACAGCGTGTTCTAATTCTATTTGTATGTTTTAAATTTATTTTGATGTCAAAGGGGTTCACTGTTTTATTCTCAAATGATGGGTACAAAGATATTTCTGCACGTACCCCTCTTTCTTTCCTCTTTGAATGAATCATCTGGTGACTGATTTCACATAGTTGGGGGTCAGGGACGGAGTGAGAATGTCAGTGAAGATTATTTGCTAGTAAAGTGTATTTTTAGGTTGCCTCAGATGTTATGAATACACTATAGCTTTAGTGAGTTTTCTCACTGGAGTGGTGAAAATTGGAAGCACCATATCTAAGAAACACGAACACTGTAAGTGGTTTTCTCTAACTAATGCTATGATTATCACTAAGCTACATTAGTTGCATTCTTAATGTGAGCAGCTGTGCTAAGTGCCTTACATGTGTTATCAAATTTAAGCCTCAAATGAAGTAGTTACTGATAATAACCTCATGTCACAGATGAAGAAACAGAGGCTTCTTCTCCAGTGTGTATCTCCAGCTTAAGCATCTCCCCTGGCTTGAGACTCGCACATCCAGCTGTCTACTCAGGACCTCAACTTGCATGTTTAAGACATCTCAAACCTAATGTGTCCAGAATGGAGTTCCTGACCTTTCTTCCCAGTCCTGCTCTGTCTGCTGCCGCCCCCATATTAGTTGTTGGCTGTTCCCTTCTTAGGCCAAAACTTTGGAATTACTCTGAATTCTGCTCTCTTGCACACCGTATATCAAATCCGTCGGGAAATCCCATTGCCTCTGCATGTCGAACACACTTCTCACCATCACTGATGCTGCTATGTGGGTTTGAGCCACCGTCATCTTTTGCCTGGACTATTGCAGTAGACACCTGATTGGTCTCTCTGCTTCAACCCTTGCCCATGCACACTCTGCTTTCAACCAAGAAGCAGAGTGATTTAAAAAATATATATATAAATCAGATCATGCCATTCCTGTGTCCCAAACCGGCTTCTCTAATGTCTCTCAATTTTACTCAAAGTTAAAGTCAAAATCCTGCATGATTGGCTCCCAGGTACCCTCTGCCTGATCTCCTCCCCCTCCCCTTGTCCCACAGCTCATCTCATTCCTCACTGGCCTGATGCTAGACGTGCTGCCGCTGCTGAGCCTAGCAGAGA